ACTGAGTACGCTATTTTGCCATCTGGGCTGACTGTCTGCACATTCCAGCTTCCTGGGCTGCCAGGCCGCTATCGGAGGAGCACCTAAAACAATCCTTGTGCAGACTGACCATCAAGTTCTTCCATCTGACCTCAGCAGAGCATTATCATTTCTATGAGGGGGGAGGGGTGTGCTGTCCGCTATCGTATATGAGTCGCCTCCATCGCGACCATTAATCTTGAACCCGGAGGCTAACATCAACCACCTATTGACGCCCATCCAATATCCATTGTTCCATATTATTCAATATTGTATGCCATAACAAAGCCATTAATAACAACTGTGTTTATTGCTGCACTGTCTACTGCACTTTAACAGCCTGCAAGTTCGCTTAGAATAGCACTTTGTCAACCCCTACTTCTACTGCTGCTAATCCCATATTTTATGCTGCTATTAACCCATCTTAGCACTTTACCTCCATGCTGCACTTTAACAACTAGCACATTGCACTTTAAGAGCTAGAGAGAGTACCCGCCTCATATTGAGTTCAGGAAGCGTTAATAAGTGCATTGATAACTGTTATCCATGTGTTCCCCCATTCCTTGGTACCTTCTATCTGTACTGTTAATCCTCTGGGGAGGGGTCTGGGGACGCAGCGGGCTGGAGACGGGAGGAAATAATGGGGCGGGGGGGGGAACATAGGGGCTGGAAAGGCGAATGGGTTTAAGATCCCAACAAGCCATGCAACTAACAATGAAATGCGAACCGAGATTACAGGGATGGAATGTGGCATGGAGGGGGGAGGGTGTTCCATCAGCCGAGGGGCCCCCATAGAAGTGGTGGTGGGGAAGGGGAGATGCGGAACAAGGAGACCAACAATTCGGCCTAGGGATCGTATTCCAACATTAGTAATTCCAAACCGGTCTCCTTATATGGTAAGTTGGTGTAACCAGGTTGGCGGTCCCTCGGGATTGAAAGTGGTGCTGTTGAACGCCAGATCTGTCAATGGTAAAACAACTTTCATCCAAGATTTAATCCTGGATGAACGGGCAGATCTGGCGTGCATCACGGAGACCTGGTTGGACGAGGCTGGGGGGGTGAATCTCACCCAGCTCTGCCCGCCAGGCTTCTCCGTGCAGCACCAACCAAGATCCGGAGGGCAGGGAGGCGGGGTTGCAGTGGTCTATAGAGATTCCATCCCTCTGACCAGGGGCCCCATCCCGCAGACTACAAATTTTGAAGGCGTCTACCTGAGAGTGGGTGACCGGGACAGAATAGGGATTCTGTTAGTGTACCGTCCACCTCGCTGCACTACAGTCTCCCTACCTGAGCTAGCGGGGGTGGTCTCGAGCCTGGCATTGGAGTCCCGACAGCTCCTGGTGCTGGGGGACTTCAATGTCCACGCCGAGACGGCCCTTTCTGGAGCAGCTCAGGACTTCATGTCTGCCATGGCAACCATGGGGCTGTCCCAACAAGTAACTGGCCCCACTCACAGTGCAGGACATACATTGGACTTGGTTTTCTGCCAGGGATGGGAGGAAGGTGGCGGTGTTGAGGAGTTGACCATCTCTCCGTTGCCATGGACCGACCACTACCTGGTCAGATTTAGGCTCACTGCACCCCCTAACCTCTGCAGAGGTGGAGGACCCATTAAGATGGTCCGCCCCAGGAGGCTTATGGATCCAAATGGATTCCTGACGGCTCTTGGGGATTTTCCCGCCACCTCGGTAGGTGACCATGTCGAGGCCTTGGTCGCTCTCTGGAATGGGGAGATGACCAGGGCAATTGACACGATCGCTCCGGAACGTCCCCTCTCAAGTAGCCGAGCTAAACCAGCGCCTTGGTTCACTGAGGAGCTGGCAGTGATGAAGCGAAGGAAGAGGGAACTAGAGAGTGTGTGGCGTTCGGACCCGAGCGAGCCAAATCGAACACGGTTTGTGTCCTTTCTGAGGGCATATGCCGCGGCAATAAAAGCCGCAAAGAAGGCTTTCTTTGCGGCCACTATTGCGTCTGCAAAGAACCGTCCGGCTGAGTTGTTCCGAATTGTCAGAGGTCTTTTGAATCCCACCACCCAAGGTGGGATCCCTGACAACTCGACCTCTCGCTGTGAAGCTTTTGCTCGGTTCTTCGCAGACAAAGTCGCTTTGATCCGTTCTAGTCTGGACACCATGTTAAATGCAGTCTCTGTGGATGTAACGAGAGCACCTGCTTGTCCTATTTTGATGGATTCATTTCAATTGGTGAAGCCCGAGGATGTGGACAAGATACTTGGAGGAATGAGGCCGACCACGTCCATCCTAGACCCCTGCCCATCCTGGCTTCTGAAGGAGGCCAGAGGGGGATTGGCTGAGTGGGTAACGGTGGTGGTTAACGCCTCCCTTCGGGAAGGCAAAATTCCAGCGAGCTTAAAACAAGCTATCATAAAACCGCTGTTGAAAAAACCATCACTGGACTCCACTAGATTTGACAACTTTTGGCCAGTTTCCAATCTCCCCTTTTTGGGCAAAGTCCTGGAAAGCGTGGTGGCCTCACAACTCCAGGTATTCTTGAGAGACACGGATTATCTGGATTCGGCACAGTCTGGTTTCAGACCGGGACATGGAACTGAGACAGTCTTGGTCGCCTTAGTGGATGATCTGCGCCGGGAGCTCGACAGGGGGAGTGTGTCCCTGTTGGTGCTTCTGGACCTCTCAGCGGCCTTCGATACCGTCGACCACGGTATCCTTCTGGGGCGCCTTGCGGAAATGGGTCTCGGAGGCACTGTTTTGCAGTGGCTCCGGTCATTTCTGGAGGGGCGTTCCCAGAAGGTGTTATTGGGGGACACCTGTTATTCCCCACAACCATTGTCTTGTGGGGTTCCTCAGGGTTCTATTCTGTCCCCCATGCTGTTTAACATCTACATGAAGCCGCTGGGCGAGATCATCCGGAGTTTCGGAGTGCGCTGTCATCTGTACGCAGATGATGTCCAACTCTGTCACTCCTTTCCACCTGCTACTAAGGAGGCTGTCGAGGTCCTGAACCGGTGCTTGGCTGCTGTGACGGTCTGGATGAGGGCGAACAAATTGAAATTGAATCCAGACAAGACAGAGGTACTCCTGGTCAGTCGCAAGGCCGAACAGGGTATAGGGTTACAGCCTGTGTTGGATGGGGTCGCACTCCCTCTGAAGACACAGGTTCGCAGCTTGGGTGTGACCCTGGATTCGTCGCTGAGCCTGGAGCCCCAGGTCTCGGCGGTGACCAGGGGAGCATTTGCACAGCTCAGGCTCGTGCGCCAGCTGCGCCCGTATCTTGGGAAGTCTGACTTGGCCACGGTGGTACACGCTCTTGTCACATCCCGCCTAGACTACTGCAACGCTCTCTACGTGGGGCTGCCCCTGAAGACGGCCCGGAAGCTGCAACTAGTCCAACGCGTGGCAGCCATGTTACTAACAGGAGCGGGGGGCAGGGAGCATACAACGCCCTTGTTGTCCCAGCTCCATTGGCTGCCGATTTGCTACCGGGCCCAATTTCAAGGTGCTGGTGTTGGCCTACAAAGCCCTAAACGGTTCCGGCCCAAAATACCTATCTGACCGCATCTCGCCTATGTACCCACCAGGACTTTGAGATCTTCTGGGGAGGCCCTGCTCTCGATCCCGCCAGCCTCTCAAGCACGGTTGGCGGGGACGAGAGATAGGGCCTTCTCGGTGGTGGCTCCCCGGCGGTGGAACGCCCTTCCTGTAGATGTTAGGCTGGCACCATCTCTCATGACATTCCGTAGAAAGTTGAAGACCTGGATGTTTGTGCAGGCATTTGAGTAATCTGAGAAATTCAGTGCAATTCTGGTAATTTGAACATAGGAACGGAACAATGGACGTCGAATTTGGATCACGCTTGGATGATGAGGCGATCGGGGGGGGGGGGTTGGAAGAACTGTGTATTGATGTTTGTATTAGCTAGTAATTGGAAATGTGTAAGTTAACTGTTATGGTTTATTAATTATTGCTGTTTTTATTGTCTTCGTGTTTGCTGTCTGGGAACCGCTGTGAGTCGCCCTCGGGCTTGAGATACAGCGGTATACAAGAATAGTAAATAAATAAATAAATAAATATATGACATATATGTCAAAAAAAGCAATAGATTGGAAAGACCACTCCTTTCATGTTTATTGCCTTTCCATAGACTGATCCCTATTTAAACCTTGAAAAGCAATGGAAGAGGTTGTTGTTATTAATTTTTAAGCTTCCTGTCAGGCTTTAGTCCAAGAAATTTGGTGGGTTCAATAATGCAAGGATATTTCATTAAGAAGAGGCTTAAAGGCCAATGACTATGTTTACTCTTCAGTGAATTAAACAGTAGCCTTTGAAATTTTTGAGAAAGTATGAAGATTTTGTGCAAATATAATATTTAATGTAATATTAAGCTGCTATAGACTTGAAGGAACATATACATATGCATAGAAATTATTGTACTTCAAAGAGAGAATGTGAATGAAGTAGCAAACACACACACACACACACATTCCCTGAAGTATCAGGTTGACCTGTATAATGATTTTCTGTGCTATATATGTTAAGTATGCCAGGACATTCTGGCAAAAGAAACTGGTCCAAGCATGAAAAGCTACTGCTAAAATTGTATTTATTCCATAATGCTACGATAACTTGGTATTATCTATCATATGTTTCACTTTTCAGAAATTATGAAGTGTCTTTCAGAACCTACTAGTCAAACTGGGAAGGCAAATGGAAGGCAAGATAAAGGAGGGTACTATATGTCTGGATTAAATTGTATTCCAGGAAAATACAGCTGTACTAGAAAATATAGTTGTTCCAATATCATTGTCTATCACCATCAATCAAGATACTCCATTGATTACGCAGGCTGCTCTTGATATTGATATGAGATAGAGCCCCCTGTGTTCAAAGGCAGGACACCTTTTGTCAATACACCCTCCAACCTAATGTGGTTAACTACTAGTATAATACTGGATCTCACCCCAAGATTGTGGCTCCAGAGATGGGAAGGCGTGTTTCAGTACTTACAGCTGTCCTCTTCTTCCATGAAAACACTGATCACGTAGCAGGCATAAACAAAACCAACCAACTGTAGGGAAAATAAGAAAGGGGAAAATAATATTAGTCACAATGTACAGCAAATACCAAAGTGCACAGTAATCACTTGAGGCAGGGTGGAGGGCACAACTCAGTAAAAGCAGGAGGAGGGCAATCTTATGTATTTTTCCAATCCAGCCCCCAAAGAGCTGGAAAAAATAAATAAATCTGTGAATTTTTGGTATTTTGTACAGGACCGGAGTGCGAGGATGTGGGTTGTAAGAAAATCTCTTTCTTTCAGAGCACTCACAGGCTGAAACATGCTCGGCTCCCTTGTAATATTTTTTATTTAAGTATTTATTTATAAAGACATTTACATACTGCCTTCATGCACCTCCTACATAAGTGCCCTCAAAGTGGCTTATAACAATAACACACAATACAAGAAAAACAAAAGAGGCCATAGAAACAAACAAAAGATAGCACAATTAACAGACAAATAAAGCCCACTGAAAATCTGGCAGAATATATATTGTCTTCACTGCCCACTTAAGAAAAAAACCACTAGAACGTATTTACTATGGTGAGCATTGCATTTATTGAAAGCAGAGGTGATTACATTGCAAAACCTGAGACATAGTTATGCTGTTATGGATCTAGGTTAGAGCCTCTGCATAATTTCCGTTTAAGAAGAGATAAATCTATCTTGAGAAGAGAAAGAGAATTACAAATTTGGCAGTAAAAGATATGCATGTTCAATGTAAGTTTTCATGTGGGTAGATATCTACTTCAACCTTTATATCTCATGAGAGAATTTACCCATCTGGTTCCACCTATGCCCAGTGCACGACTTAACCTCTCCCACAAAACAAGGACTCAGCACTTTAACTATTGTTTATTGTTGACAAATATTATTGGTCATAAAAACTACCAACATGACTTGGCTGGTCAAAAGAAAGAAAGAAAGAAAAAGGGAAAAGATGGAATGAGAAGTGCAAGAATGAAACACATGTTGTTGTTTTCTCTGTTTCACTGGCTCCATCAAAACACTCTCCTATGGGAGACAAACCTCAGGTGGTTTGTTCCTAATCTCAGTTCATCCATATTTTTGCTCCTATGATGCACTACCTCTGTTGCTCTGTTTCTTCTTTCTGTGCAATAAAGAAAGATTTATTTTTGCATTTCTCTGGTGTTGGTTTGGCATATGCCCCACCTAGCTAGAACTTAATTTGCTAGTCTCCATATGTGTACATTCACAGAGACCACAAAGAAAAAGGACAGTTGCTTACCTGTAACTATTTCTTTGAGCAGTCTTCTATGAATCCACACAAACCCGCCGGTTGCTCCCCTTTATGCAAACACCCCCCTTTCTAGCTGCCTTGTGGCGAAGGAACTGGGGAGCATGGAGCCAGTGTGATTTTTACGCCCTGGAAGGAGTGGGCAGGGTTACTGCCAAAATTTGAAAGATCACAGCTTGGAAAGCTTTCCATTGGAGCCTAAGCAGGAGCAATAACTCCGTATGTGTGCATTTACAGAGACCATGAAAAAAATTATAATAACAATCATAATAATTATTATTAATATTATAATTAGCATTATGTCCACTTAAAAGTCCAAGCCAAGCACACTAACCACAATTATTATTATTATTATTATTATTATTATTATTATTATTAGTGTAATTTATGCAGAGCTACCCCAGGCCTCCAAATACACATTTTTAACTTGTTTTTAAATTGAAATATTTCATCAACTTTTTACGGATCCTTATTTCATATACATAAAAAGTTGTATCCATATTATCTAGTTCATTGTGCACAATATAATAGATGAACATTCTAAACATGAAATCCCCAAATTGGAATTTTCCCTTCTTCCAGGAAATATTTGAAGGGTTCCCAATTTTTCTTTAATATTGAAGGGTCTTTTGTCTGTAGATCCTGTATCTTGTTAAAAAGTCATTTTCCGCTACTTTTACTATTCATTCTTACATTTTTGGTGGTTCTTCTAGTTTCCATGACCACACATACATAATTCTTGTACAATGTATTGTCGAAGGCTTTCATGGCCGGAATCACTGGGTTGCTGTAGGTTTTTCTGGGCTATATGGCCATGTTCTAGAGGCATTTTCTCCTGACGTTTCGCCTGCATCTATGGCAAGCATCCTCAGAGGTAGTGAGGTCACCTCACTACCTCTGAGGATGCTTGCCATAGATGCAGGCAAAACGTCAGGAGAAAATGCCTCTAGAACATGGCCATATAGCCCAGAAAAACCTACAGCAACCCAATTATTATACAGTTGTCATCAGAATGAAAAGTTTATCATATGTCTTCAAAGTGATCTGTTATACCTAGTAACACTGCCTCTGGATTCAAGGGTATTTTTAATTTAAATCCTTTTTATATAGCTTTATGGATCTTAGACATTTTTTTGCCTTCTTGCAGGGCCACCACATATGAAAAATGATCCTGTTGTTTGTTTACATTTTCAACAGTTATTTTTTCAATTGTGGCTGTATTTTGGCTATTTCTACAGGTGTCATGTAATATTAATAAAACATATTATAAAAGTTTTCCAGCACAGAATGATTTCTGAATATTTTTAATTTTTACTTTCCAGAGGCATTCCCACTCAGCTTCTTTAGAGGTATAGCTATGGAGGAGGGGAATAAAGACATTGCTCTCTGCAAAGAATTCCTTTTTCCCAATGATAATTTCCACCAGTGATATAGAGCATCAACTGAGCCTTTAGAAATACAGTTTACATGTTGAAAAGAAAAGGGGCGGACAAAATCATCAGAAAAACGTAACCAGAGCAAATGGAAAATGTCCAGGTATTTATAAATATCAACATCTTCCTTTCTATAATGCTAGAAATTTGGGCTCTGAGTACATTTCATTGGGGGCAGGATTGGGGGGGGGGATCAATATCTTCAATCTACCTGCATGATCACGTCCTGGGGCTTTTAAGAAAATAAATACCATCTTTTTAGTATCCTGAAATGTGTCTCCTCTTTCTTCATGGGCCATAGTAACATTCACACTACCACCATTATACAAATAAGTAAAGAACAAAAGTAATGTTTACAAAGAATATTAACTGTATGATATTTTATGGATATAATCCCAAAATGCATAACAGAATGTGCTAAAGGTTCTTTCAGAACACAAACTTCCACAGATCCACTATTTTAGCCATTCAAAGGCAACTCTGTGACTTGTAAATTCCAGAAAATACTTGTGAGAATATGTAAAAAATCTGTAAGAGAAATAAGACATACACAGCAGAACCTTACATTTTGTATCAGGTGGAACTCCAGCAATGCCTTTTAACCCAATTCTACTGTCCTACATACTATAGGAAAGAATAAAGGCCTGGGGCCTCTAGTCATTTGTCTTCTAACAATGACGTTTCCTTGGAAGCAGCCATGGGAAGAAACCATTCCCCTGGGCAAACAAAATCTGTGTGAGAGTGCACTGCCCTAGAAATGTGCTATGTGGTGAAAAAATACACTGAAACACAATAGAATTATTAGATTCTGAAATGAAAGATTATCACAAGAATGTATTGTTGAAGAGTTTCATGGCCAGAATCACTGGGATGTTGTGTGGTTTCTGGGCTGTATGGCCATGTTCTAGCAGCATTTTCTCCTGATGTTTCACCTACCTCTGTGACCAGCATCTATAGATTCTCTGATCTGTCTGGAAACCACACCTTCCCACTATCACAAAAATGCTAGCCATGTATCTTTCTGTGTGCATTCTGCATTATTTTTGTTTTCATTTGTTTTATTACTTTTTTTTTGGTAAACTATTCTGGAAGCTTGAATATAAACCAAATCAGTGTATAACTGATATACAAAAATATAAACAAACTCAACTCAATCAGTATATTACTGTATCTGATCTTTCCAAAACTGGCGTACACACAATACATCACACTTTCACAATTACAGATATGAATCTGAGAAAGGAGTCAATTTCTTAAAAAAGGTAATTTGGCATCCTCTTTTTGACATAAGCTAGAGAACTAGGATTGCACTTTCGCATACTTTGAGGAAGAAGGGATCAAAAACTTCTTTCCAACAGAACTCAGCTCTATGTGTGATGATAGCTTCATCTCTCTGCTCACAAAATGCTGTAGGAGTGCATCCCAGGTTGTTCTAGTTTTCTACCAGAATTAGTCTGGGGCACCACAGTAGCCAAAGGAAAAGCTCCTGTGGTTCTGTGATACAAGTACAAACACTATCGTAATGAGAGCTAAACAGCACCACAAGGGGCACTGGTTTCATATGCTGTTCTTCCCGAGTAAACTTTATATAAGAGAGAACTTCAGTTCTGGGGTCTTCTCAAATACAATGCTGCCTCTGCTCCCAGAATTAAAGGGATGACGCATAAGAGTTTATAACACTACGTGATACCAATCAGGATGGGCAGGTACTCCGAGCAAAGTATTTTGTGGGATCTCAGGAGCATGTTCAGTGTCAACGTAATCTCTTTAAACAGTATACAAAATCACTGACTTTACTTCATTTCTTAATTAGTCGCTCGCCATCAAGGTGCTCTGAGCGACTTACAATTTAAAATAGCATTTCACAATATAAAAACATTCAACATAAAAACATTCAACAGTGACTATTTGGCAAATTAGATCTGATTACTTAAATGGGCAACCACAACCCTCGAAGTGCTGTTGAATTCTAGTTATCATCAGCTTTAGTAAGCCATTGCTATGAATGATGGTAGCTATATCACAAGGACCGTGAAACCACTAGGGAGCTTCTAGGGAGTGGCTTCTAGGGAAGCCACTAGGGAGCTTCGTCATCTAAGGATAACAGCTGCACTCGGTGAATGAAATATGATGCGCTTAAAGAATGGTTAAGTTGGATCATTGACATTTGTTTCCCTCTTTTTCCTCTTTTTCCTCCTCTTCCTCTTCTTCTTGAAGAATCTGGATTGGCCCGTATGGTTCATATAATTTCTCCAGTTGTGGATCACAGAGACTTTCCACAGAAGTTGAGGAAGCAGGAACCCATTTTGTTTCCTTCTGCT